GACTGACATGAGGAGACTTCACTCTCTCTATGGTTATTTGTCCTACTCTCTAAATAATAGTTTTATATTGGTTATAATTGCTTCATTGCATAAATTAACTTATTAACAGTGAGCTACCCACGCATCGATACTCTGCCAGTAATGTAAAGTGTTTCAAGTGGTATAATTATGTACCTTCAGTGGGGAAGCTAGACATTCCATCACCCGGGGCAATCCCTGCTGCCACCCCACACTTTTGGGCTCTCTTCTTCTTTTGTCGCAGCGGTGCCCCTTCTGATCCATCACAGAGGTGAGGCTTCAAATTACCTCATTCTCCAGTGCTGCTTTGTTAATTTAGGAGCCGCTTCTGAGCTCTCTTCTATTTTCCCAGTGGTGCCCATTCTAATCTGTCATGGAGGAGAGACTTGAATGAAGTGATTTCAAGCCTCACCTCCATGGTGGATCAGGGGCGCTGCAACACCAAAAGAAGAGAGCACAGAAGTAGGTCTAAAGACACTGATCCTCCATGGAGGTCTGTTTCTCAGCAATACATTATACAGCAGTGCAGAAAACCACCAGCTATAGAGGACTACAAATCCCAGCAATAAATTATACAGCAATGCAGAATAATATGAAGCTTCATACTCTGTGCTGCTCTGGGGTGGCCCCTTGATGTCACTAGTAATGCAGAGGTCAGCAGTGTACAGAGGTCAGCAGCATAACGCATAGTACAGAAGTCAGCAGTGTGACGCAGAGTACAGAGATCAGCGGTGTGATGCACAGTGAAGAGGTCAACGGTGTGATGCACAGTGAAGAGGTCAACGGTGTGCCGCAGAGTACAGAGGTCAGTGGTGTAACGCAGAGTGCAGAGGTCAATAGTGTAACACTGAGTGCAGAAGTCAATAGTGTAATGTACAGTGCAGAAGTCAGTTGTGTAATGCAGAGTACAGAGGCCAGTGATGTAACCTATAGTATAGAGGTCAGCGGTGTACAGAGGTCAGCGGTGTAACGCAGAGTACAGAGGTCAGCGGTGTGACATACAGTACAGAGATCAGTGGTGTGATTAGAGCACAGAGGTCAGCGGTATAATGCACAGTGCAGAGGTCAGCGGTTTAATGCACACTGCAGAGGTCAATAAAATAACACAGAGTACAGAAGTGAGCAGTGTGACACAGAGTGCAAAGGTCAGCGGTGTGATGCAGAGTACAGAAATCAGCGGTGTGACGCACAGTACAGAGGTCAGCGGTGTGATGCACAGTACAGAGATGAGTGGTGTGATGTAGGGCACAGAGGTCAGCGGTATAACGCACAGTGCAGAGGTCAGCGGTTTAATGCACAGTGCAGAGGTCAATAAAATAACACAGAGTACAGAAGTGAGCAGTGTGACTTGCGGGAGCACCGATTTGTTTTAAAAACTACGGATGTTTTCTTCACTTATGGGTGGATTTCAAATGAATGAACTTTATGATTAAATACACCAGCACAATACTAAAAAGTTTATTTTATTGGGTATTTTGAGACCCATTTGACTTACTGTGGATGATTCTTTGCTTATGCAGGATTACTCTATTTATATATTTATTTATCATTGATCACTTATGAATTATTGATCACGTATTTATCATTGGTCACATATACATTGGGGAATTTGAACCTTTTTTTCTTATGAATGTGATTATTTTATAATGAACATGTGTATGAGACCTATCAACTATTATTAGTGTTTTGCTTTTTGCACATATTTATGCACTTTAGGCACTTTATAAATATGTAGGTGTGTTAACTATTTAGGTTGAGGTCCTTTAGCGCTCTCTAATTTCCATTATTTAGTGTGACGCAGAGTGCAAAGGTCAGTGGTGTGATGCAGAGTACAGAAGTCAGCGGTGTGATGCAGAGTACAGAAGTCAGCGGTGTGATGCACAGTACAGAGGTCAGCGGTATTATGCACAGTGCAGAGGTCAGCAGTGTGACGCAGAGTACAGAGGTCAGTAAAGTAACAAAGAGAAGAGGTTAGCGGCGTGACGCAGAATTCAAAGGACAGCGGTGTGACGCAAAGGTCAGCGGTGTGATGCAGAGTACAGAGGTCAGCGGTGTGATGCAGAGTACAGAGGTCAGCGGTGTGACGCAGAGTACAGAGGTCAGCGGTGTGATACAGAGGTCAGCGTTGTGACTCAGAGTACAGAGGTCAGTGGTGGGATGCACAGTACAGAAGTCAGTGGTGTGACACAGAGTACACAGGTAAGTGGTGTGATGCAGAGTACAGAGGTCAGTGGTGTGATGCACAGTACAGAGGTCAGTGGGGTGACGCAGACTACAGAGGTCAGTGGTATAATGCACAATGCAGAGGTCAGCAGTGTGACGCAAAGTACAGAGGTAAGTGGTGTGACGCAGGGTACAGAGGTAAGTGGTGTGATGCACAGTACAGATCTCAGCAGTGTTACGCACAGTACAGAGGTCAGTGGTGTGATGCAGAGTACAGAGGTCAGCGGTGTGATGCAGAGTGCAGAAGCCAGCGTTGTGATGCAGAGTACAGAGGTCAGTAATGTAACGCAGAGTACAGAGGTCAGCGGTATAACGCACAGTGCAGAGGTCAGCGGTCTGACACAGAGTACCTAAGTCAGCGGCGTGATGCAGAGTGCAAAGGTCAGCTGTGTGATGCAGAGTACAGAGGTCAGTAAAGTAACACAGATTACAGAGGTCAGCGGTGTGATGTAGAGTGCAAAGGTCAGCAGTGTGATGCAGAGTACAGAAGTCAATGGTGTGATGCACAGTGCAGAGGTCAGCGGTGTGACGCACATTGAAGAGGTCAATGGTGTGACCCACAGTACAGAAGTCAGTGGTGTGACGCAGAGTACAGAGGTAAGTGTTGTGATGCACAGTACAGATCTCAGCAGTGTGACACACAGTACAGAGGTCAGTGGTGTGATGCAGACTACAAAGGTCAGCAGTATAACACACAGTGCAGAGGTCAGCGGTGTGACTCAGAGTACGGAGGTCAGTAATGTAATGCAGAGTACAGAAGTCAGCGGTGTGACGCAGAGTACAGAAGTCAGCGGTGTGACGCAGAGTACAGAGGTAAGTGTTGTGACGCAGAGTACAGAGGTAAGTGTTGTGACGCACAGTACAGATCTCAGCAGTGTGACACGCAGTACTGAGGTCAGTGGTGTGATGCAGAGTACAAAGGTCAGCAGTATAACACACAGTGCAGAGGTCAGCGGTGTGACGCACAGTACAGAGGTCAGCGGTGTGATGCACAGTGCGGAGGTCAGCAGTGTGACCTAGAAAGAACAGAGACCTACAGTGCACACAGGGATTACCATATACTATGTACCAGACAAAAAATAAAACATCAGATACCAAAAGGCCTTACCGCTTACTAAATAAATGACTTTAATACTCCGTAATACAACTAGGTCTATAAGACAACCTAACCCATAAAAAACATTTAAACAGTAGCCTTTATATAAATAGACATAAATTAAATTACCTAACTGATACTTTCTCGGGTAATGTAACATCACAATAAAAAAATTATATATCAGAGTTCATGTACATACAATATTACTTCCTGGCAGTGTTCACATTAGCTGGGCCCTCTAAAGTTTGTAATAAATAAAAAAACAACACTATATCCAAAATATAAGTTTATATACAAACAATGATTTCAATTACATATCATATATCATATTACCAGTAAAAAATTTAGCAATCATGCATAGAGTATAGGTATATACTTATACATGATCAATCTGTTATAAAAGTGTACCTACTGTATGTGCAAGGCACCCCCCTTCCCATATTAGATGAGGGCGAACTATATAAAAACATAGTCCTGTGATTCATTGGCAATGAGCAGACAAATAATAAGAAGAGAGGAAAGCAGAAAATAATGTATAACGTGAATAAAAGCGATAGAAAAATAAAAACCAATGGATCACTGAATAACTGGGATGGATAGTAGGAACCCAGAAAAATGCATTACAAAATGGAAATTGCATGCATAGTAAATGGTAGGAGGGTGAATGGTAGGAGGGCATCTGCAGCCTACTCTAAGTATAGAGCCACAATGAATGGTAATCCTTGTTACACACCACAATAGGGGTCACATTCTAACCACTGGTGGTATCAGAAGCAGCATCTAGATCAGCCAGAGATTGGCTGGTACTATGTTAGGAGGACGATCAAATCTTACATAGGATGTTATGCTGTTACAAGTACCAAAACTTTAAATAGCAATTACATTTTGTGTGACTCTTTGGTTGAGAACCTGAAGCTGTCTGCTGAAAACACTTTCCTTGTAACATTTTTTCTAGTTACAAGACTAAACTAGTTTAAACCACTTTAAGGTAAATCATCTGTTATGATCTCAGTTAGATAAACATAGGTCCCCATGGGAAAGAATAGACCAAAATATATAGGATATTCTTCCTTCTGTTCACAGAGACTAGGATGTCCTGATACCGATGCTAGCATCGGAATCAGGCCTGATACAGATCATTTTGACAAGTACTTGCCCCGATGCCTTTTTGTTTTTTTTCTTACCTTCCGTGGTGGCTGGGGTCCTCTGGGAAGGCTGGAGAAGCTTCACGTCACTGCTGTGGGCGGAGCTCCAGGTGGGGTCTAATGTAGTTGGCCGGCGACCTGGAGCTCCGCCCACAGCAGTGACGCGACGCTCTGCCGCTCAGCGCTGCCGACGTCGTCCTCACATGAGAGGAAAGGAAAGAGGAAGAATTAATCGGCAGCTCGTGAGGCACCTCCATTGCACAGGCACCATCAAGTAAGGGCCTGTGTTCAAATCATGTTTGGAATCGGATGGATCATGTTACTATCTATGGATCATGATTTTAAACTAATACTCTATATGAAGTATACACTATAGTACACACACTATTAGTTTAAATCATGATCTATAGTACATACATAATATGTAGTTGTACTATAGATCATGATTTAAACTAATAGTGTGTGTACTATAGTGTGTACTTCATATAGAGTATTAGTTTAAAATTGTAAAGTTTTATTGCCATATACTATGATTGCATTTCATACCCACATCATGAATTACTATACTGCCATAGCACCTCTGTCAACCTTTTACAAATACTGTCTGAACTAGGAAAGCTTGTTAATAGAATAAACTTAAAGGCAATACTTCTGAGCCACCGAACTGCTAGATTCTGTTTGGAGGTGTGATGCTATAGAGAGTTCCTATAAAATGTGTTGTCCAATCTGTACTATGGACTGTGCTGTACTATGGATCATGATTAGCCTAATCATGTTATCAGGGGCATAACTAGAAATCACAGGGCCCCATAGAAAAAGTACCGGTAATTGGTATCGGCAAGTACATGAGGGCCAGTACTTGTACTTGGTCTTAAAAAAGTGACATCCCTAACAGAGACAATATTATGTTTTATACTCTATCCCTATGAAAGTTATTGTAATAGACAAAGAAAGTGGGGATAAACAAAGGTGTCTGGATTTGGATTGTGGGGCATTTGTTGAACCCATCTAAAATTGCAAACTTAAATCCTATGGCAATCTTAAAAAACAATGCTGGCCATTTCCAAGGCTAATAGGCAAAGGATTTTCAAAGAAAGTACTTGGGCACTGTCATAGGGATATGTACCAATGCAAAAACAAAATGAATAAAATAGTGTGCAGCAGGGAGAAGGTCCTCATTTTGATGCAAATTTAAGGGCACATAGGAAAAGGGAAAAGCCAATCTTCGTAATACATTTTACCAAATTAAGATGCAAATTTTAAGCCTGAAAATTCCCCCACCCTAATTATATATTTTTCGAAAGCAACAATCCCAGAGGAAAAAATGATGGCAGTTACCATGTTTTATGTTACATGATATTAGCGCACATGAAACCCAAAGTTTCAGAAAAAAACGCATTAATATTAATTTTAGTACATATAAACAAAATATAATACCCAACTTTTTGGTAAAATATAAAACAAGCAATGAGGTTGGGTAAAGTAAATAGATACCAAACATGTCCAGCTTAAAAACTGAATGTGCCCGACAAAATCTTTTGATACCCAACCAATGGTATCCATTGTCTATAGGCGTCACTTTAAAAGCCTTCACAGGTCATAAATTTAGAGTTAACCATGAGTAATTGGCCTAGAATTATTTATCTCACTCTGACTTGCATGGGGATAACTAACGTGTGGCTCAATCATCATTCCTACAAGTAGGCGCATCCGACGCTATTAGACCCCTAATGTCTCCCCTGCACTCCACTGAAGCTAATACATCATGATCTGCTTGATTAGTTTCATCCCCGGCCACAGTGACTGACATTGCCCATAATTCTTTCAAACCCAAGTCCACATTTTATCCCTACAAGTCCAAAAGTTCATTTATAGACACTTTTTATCATGTCACGTACTCAGACTTATGACTCCATGACTCCTCATAAGGCCCAACATTGACACAATCTGAGTCCAGCCGAAACCTCCGCTATCAAAGAACTCACAGCCAACCATGACATAGTCATCAAACAAGCAGACAAGGGCGGTGGCATTGTCATCCAGGACCATCCCGATTACATTAACGAAGCCCATAGGCTCTTGGACGATGAGTCCACCTACATTACCTTACCACTAGATCCTCTCACCACTTACCAAACCGAACTGTTCCACCTCCGAGAAACCGCCTCTAAAGATAACATCCTTACAAAGAAAGAGAAAGCTTTTTTGTATCCCCAACATCTCCACACCCCTTACTTTTACCATCTGCCGAAAATTCACAAAAATGCTAGTGCACCTCCCGGTCGTCCGACAATAGCCAAGACCAACAGACTCACTAGTGGACTATCGGTCTACATAGATCATTTTCTACAACCTTTGGTCACCAATTTGCCTTAATACATCAAAGATTCTGGCCAGCTAATCCAGATGCTCTCACAGTACAAATGGGATCCTTCCTATTCAGGGGCGTATCTGCCGCGAGGCAAACAAGGCGTTTGCCTCGGGCGGCAGATTCCTAGGGAGCGGAAAAAATGCTGGGGTCTCAATGTACCGGCCCGCGAGCCAGTACTTTGTGACCCGCAGCCATCTGCAACGGAATTCGTCCAATAGCAAAATGAGAAATTACATTTAGGCCAATAGGAGAATGCCAATTCAAAAGCAAAGAAAAAAAAATCTTTATCTTACCTTACCCGGGACTAGAACCTGCGACCTTAACAATGGCAAACCTGTCCCCTACCCTCTACGCTATTGCTTCTGTACTTTAACCAAGGAACTGTTGGAGAAGGTAACTGTTGTATTTTTTTTCCCCCCAATGTCGTTTTGCTGCAACGAAATTCGTTTAATAACGAATTTCGGGAAATCGGGAATTTCGGATTCGTTTGCATTCGTCTTAGCTTTAATTCGGAATTCGGATGCATCCGAATCTCCGAATTTCCGAAAATTCGTCCAAAACGAATTTCGGAACGAACTGAATCGCACATGTCTACTCTGCAGGATCCATAGGGGGCTTTGCAGGATTTGTGGTGGGCTTTGCAGAATACATAGGGGGCTCCGCTGCCTGCAAAGCCCACCACAAACCCTGCAGAGCCTTCCTGAGATCCTGCAGGATCTGTGGGGGGCTTTGCCTGGTCTCAGAGGGCTTTGCAGGATCTGTGGTGGGCTCTGCAGAATCCATAGGGGGCTCCGCTGCCTGCAAAGCCCACCACAAACCCTGCAGAGCCCACCTGAGACCACAGACGAGTGGGGTACATTTAGTGTGTGGGTGGGGGGGGGCACCGAGTTTTGTCTTGCCTAGGGCAGCCCCAAACCAGAATACACCACTGTTCCTATTCCTGGCTATCACTAGACGTTAGTTCCCTATACACTTCCATTCCACATGATGATGTAGGCATAAACGCGCTACAATATTATTTAACCTCCCATTCCACTCTACACCATTAACAAGCACAGTTCATTGTGGATTGTACTAAATTCACACTTGAACACAACTACTTTGCCTTCATGGACAATTTTCATTCACAAATCCGAGGCACGGCCATGGGCGCAAACTACGCCCCCAAGCTATGCCATCTTCACTATGGGTTTCTGGGAGGATAAGCACATATGGAACAACAACCCATTCGCCCAACACCTTATTTTTTATGGTCGCTATATTGACGACATCATCATAATCTGGGAAGGCCCCACCGAGTCCATGTTGGAATTCGTCACCCATTGCAACAGCAACAGGTTGGGCCTCTCATTCACTCATGTGGCCAACTCATCCAAATTGACATTTCTAGACTTAGAGCTCTCATTCGACAGTACGACCATCATCACCAACAACCATGTAAAACCCACTGGGGGTAACTCATATGTGCACTTTCAGAGTTGCCACCACCCAAGATGAATAAAAAACATCCCCAAGAGCCAGTTTTGCAGGCTGAGGCGCGACTGTTCCAAGACTACGGATTACATTACACAGAGCCAATAAATTCAGAGATCAATCGTAACCGGCCACATTAATCCATAACGTGTACTCTGCTTATCTAAAACCACCTACTCCTAATGCAACCACGTGCCTTGATGGTGAGGCTGATGTAAGATTCATCACCACCTTCAATAACAATCATAACGCAATACAGCGCATCATACGGAAAAACTGGCACATTAGAGTGGGAACTTACCAATGCAGAAAATCATGCTGCCTCACGTGCCAATGTATCACTCATGGGCAATCCGTATTCATAGATAGTACCAACAACATCCATCCAATTAAACAGTTCATCACTTGTTCACATGACCATGTTATCTATGGTCTAAAATGTCCATGCAATCTACTATACGTTGGCCGCACGATCCGTCCACTGAGAAAAAGGATAGGCAAGCACAGACAATTTATTGCAGAAGGCAACCCAGATCACAGTGTCCCAAGACATTTTGCCCATAAACACAATAAACGCATTGAATACCTGCCATAGAACTAATTTCAGAACATTATTCCCCTTCTGAGCGTTTCCAGCGGTTATGCAGGAGAGAAACCTATTGGATCTACCAACTCAATACCCTTGCTCCCACAGGACTTAATGACGAGTTGGAAATCCTTACCATCATCTGATCCAGTCCCATCAGTCATCAACACCTCCAAACAGCCCTCATCAGCCCAGGGGGCACAGCATGTATTAATCAGCAGGACATCTTCCCGGCCATTCATTGACCAATGCGTCAAGATTTTTATTCCTCTATCAATAAAAACATACATTTTAGTCTCCATTTTTTATTATTTATTATATTTTTTATTTTTATTTTCATTCTAATTCTAACTCTATTTTCATCTCCATCTTCGTTTTTATTAATTTACATCCTCCATGCACCTTCAGTATCCAGACATATCTCGTTTACACTGCTACACTTCATGGGCCTTGCCCGAGCAATCGAGACACGGGAGTATTTTCCCCTCATTGCCTATCCCTGTAGCTCCGCCCACCTGTCATTTTTAAACCCGGCGGATCTCCCGCCAAAGTAACCTGCTTCTTCGTTTGAGCATGAGAAAGAGGGCTTCCTCGAAACGCGTTGCTCCTCCATTACCCTGTGCCTACCAGGCATCACACCATCCTCTGCATTTTTTTCCACAGCCACCTGCCACTCCGACCTCACTACCTCCGACACTGCTGTCACACAGACCGGAGGCACACAAACCACACAGCCTTGACAGCCTCCTGACCATTCCCCCAGTCTCTGAGACAGTCCCGTCACCCAAATCTGCCTGGTCCGTATCAGTCACGGCACTACACTGGTCCTCTACCTTGTGAGACAGTTTTTTGACAGCCCTCTGACCAGTCCTCACTGTATCAAGCCAGTCCCCCTGTCACCCAGAGCTGCCTTGATCGATCCGACTGCAGCCACGTCAGGACCTGTCCCGCTCCGTTCTCTCTCTCCCTGCCTGAAATTACATCCGGTGGTGGCCACTGTAAGCTTGCAGCAAGAAGAAGTGCACATTGAACCATCCAATCCTCCATCGAGGCCGCCCCGTGCACGGTACCCGAGGCCCACAAGTAAGTCTTTCCCCGATTTTTAATAGAGACAGGCTGTCTCAACATTCTTTCATGCATTTGGTTTTTGCGCTCTTATCCTTCCATCACAAGATCAGGACACATAAAGCTTAAGTTGTAGTTATAGCCCCATACTGACCAAAGTGAGTTTGAATTTCTCTGATGTCCAAACATACAAATCTTAATGAACAGCTTGGGACTGAAATGTCAATATTAACAGGGTTATTCACAGAAGGGTGAAGAGTGTGGAGAAGGCATGAGAAGTGAACAATCTTGGACAAAATAGCTGTTTTGGAAAAATTCTCCAATTTAGCTCACTTTCTAGTTCAGCTATGTTGTCCTAGATTGTTCACTTCTCCTGCCTTCTCCAAATTCTTCACCCTTTTGTGAAAAGCCCTGTAAGTGATTTTGATTTTAGAGAACAAGCATTTGAAACCGTGAATTAGTCATTTGCTTCATCTACTACATTGCCATATGATTATATTTGAGAAAAAACCTCTCTAATTGGAACAAGGAGGCTTACACAGGGATTGGACCCCTAATTCGATGGATAAACAGTGTGGAGAGGGAGTGCAGGGATGATAAGTATGAGTGGGTGAGAGATTGTTCTTTCAAGAGAACCTAACACTTTGATCTGAATGGACAAAATAACAGTCTCTTTAAAGAACATATTTCTCAACAGAATAATCACCTCGTCCTCTAACTGCTTTGACAGACCCCATTGAACCTCTTGTGACTGAATATCTAAAATTTATATTGGTATTTATTTTAAAGCTTGTTGGCAAATACATCAGCCAACAAAGTCAAGGAATTTTAAGCCCTAACAGTGAAACCCTATATAATCTTCTTTTCATAATGTAGCGCTAACCTCCGAAGGAGCCGCTGGATTAACCAGGTCATCATCACTAGTCTGTCTATAGGTATGACCATCAGCCACCCCACTAGCATTAACCACCCTCTTCTAATGCCCACAAAGCTGCTGTCCACTCCAGTAATGCAATCCTGAATAACTTTTATTAAACATCTTCACACTGGGGAGAGAGGGTATAGGGATCATAGACATCCAGGGAGTAACAGACATAGACTGCAGACTAACCAGACCTCTTAAGCATCTCAGTGTAAATCCACTTGTGGTACAGTGAATGGTAATTGGAGTAACAGATGAGCAGGGATGAGCACAGATCCTCAGCAGGAGAGACACCAGCCATGCTCCAGAGGTCCTTTATGTTCCAGGCACCTCCCGCAGGCATCAGCTTCTCTGGTTCTCCTTCTCTGGCAAACAGCACAGGCCTCCTCCATACTTGAGGCCTAGGGGAACACTTCCCACACTGCAGCCTCTTCACACCCACAGGCCTAACCTGGGGGGCAGGCTGTACAGCATCCAGCCCTAATCCATGGCTGCTCCCCGACTAGTCTGAGCACATGGCAAATCCCTCCAGTATATGTACCCTATCCCAGCATGCACCACTGGTTGAGAGAAACCCAGCGATTGGCTGCTGCACTGTACATACACTCACAGTGCCTCTCATTGGCTGTCTCACAATATAGCAGAGTCACACTCTGCCCAGGGGGGAACAGTCAATGCCAGACACCTGGAATTAAACACATAAATGCCACTATAATCCAACCAGGCTGACTACAGCCCTGGCTTATCACTAAATATCTAGTAGCCACCTCACAGAAGTTGATGGGCGCTACAATAGTGAGATTGTGGATCATTAGCAATCTCACACAGTGTGTGGCCATTTACAGACGCTTTACCGGCTTCATTTACGTGAGTGCATTTAAAAATTGTATTTATTACTTTTAGATACAGCGCTTACACCTCCTTTTCCCCTTTATCTTGCAGTTATGTAAATGAAGATTTAATAATAATATTTCACTGTAAATCTGCAGAAGATTGAGCTACAGTGAGTAATATAACGAGATCCTGTATCTATGGGGCTGGGTAGCTTAATTTCAGGAGGATCAAAAGGTGATCATTTTAAAAGGACATTTCCAAAGAACTACCTGTAGTAATTCTATACAGCAAACACTGCAACTGCACTAAAATCAGAAACTTCATTCAGTATAAATTTAAATGAGTTCAATGTAATCCCTACAGCAAAAAACCAATTACCCTGCACAGCATTACAGGGATTGTAATTCCTGAAGCCTTTATTTTGTCATTTTGCCTCTAAATCTATTTACATCTAGAATTCTGGAGAAAATGTAAACTTTAAAAAAAAGTCTTAGTACTGACATTTTTTTGCAGACAGCCTGCAGTGCACTTATTTGAAAATGGTTCTCTTGTATCACCAGCAGGGTTCTCAAACTGCAAGATCATCAATTAAAGGGATTAGAGTAGACCATACTTATGTATTAATGTGTCCATAAAGTCATAAAACAAAAATGTCATATTTGTTTTAGCATGCCATTTTAACATCTCTTGTACTTTGACATGTCTATGTCCATTTAGCCCCCATAAATACCTTTAACCAGATGCTGAGAACTACATTCACATACATTTCCTGTATGCCTTTGTCCACAATTTCCTTCTGCCTTCCTAAAATCTCCAATTGTAGTCACACGTGAGGAAGCACTGTGCTCAGAAACTAGCACACTGTTTTTTTCACTACTCCTTTAGAGCTCCACAACAACTCTCTAATGTCCTGCCCACATCTCTATCCACCTGTCTACTTCGCCAGCCTCTCCTACAGCCTGGTGAGCAATGGCATGTGACGTGTTGCAAAGCATTGTGGGAGACTATCTAAATTGAGATGACCCAAAAACAAAACAAAAAACCAGCAGAAGCTGCTACTAAGAAGAGGCAGAGCTATGCTGTGTTTTTAAAAGGTAAGAAGATATTTTGGAGCATAAGAACAAAGCCTTTTATTTATTGCACAATGCTTGTTCTGAATATCTAATGAGGTGCTGGTGTCTCTAGATCTCCTTTAATATACTAATCACCCTAATTCAATTTATAATTCGACCCTCAAAGCATGTCGTTTAAGGCCCCGTTCACACTTAGCGATTTATCGCACGGTAATTCCCGCGATATCGCGGCAATTTACCGCGCGATATTGCTCTCCAATGCTTCTCAATGGGGCAAAGGGTCCTGCTGTCGTGGGTCGTGCGTCGCTACAGCAGGGCCCTTTTTGGAGCGGATTTAGACGCAATTCAAGCTTGCTCAATGCAAGCATTTGCGCGATATTGCGCAAAATGCAAATCGCGCGACAAACGCGCGATTTGCGAATCGCGCAGTGTGAATGGGGCCTTAGACTCCCTCATTATATTACCTCAAACATGCCTAGTTTTTGCCTGGAAGAAAATGCGGTATGGAAACAGTTTGAAGAGCAACAGAGCTATGTATAGCAAACAAGATGGGAGTTTGTGCAAACTTAATGGTGACATCAACAGGCAGCTCAGATCTAGACATGTTCTGAAAATGTGAACACGACTTAATTAGAGAAAAGCCACAGATCATCCAGATCTCAAGGGCAATTAATGTTTTCAGATGTGAGAGCATAGCTATAAATAGATCAAAATTGTCAGAGTATACAAATGGTTAATAAGCTACAATTTCCATTCAGAAATATATCTGTATTTATCTCGTAAAAAGATCATGTTGAGTAGACCAGATATTTCTTGCACACCCAGCTTTCTGTTCTCTTCGCTATGAATTCTAACAAACTGCTTTCTGCTGAGAATGTATTTTAAATATCATCTTTACTTTCGTGGTATATAGACAAACTACTGTCAGAGTAAAATTACCACCAACCTATTATTAGAAACTGCAGTGGTAACTGCATTTAAGAATACAAATTGGATTCCAGCAGTTGACAGCAAACTTCAATGCATTTTGTGGATTGGGAGATAAACAGGTGTATAAAAGCTACTTTTCTTATCCAGAACCACTTGAAATATGATATTCTATTAGAAAGACTTTAAGTTCTATTACAGGAACTTAACTTGAAGCAATATTCTGTATGTTTTCCTAACAGTGTATAAAAAAAAAATTAAAAACATAATGACACAAAAAATACCTTTTTACTTTGTTCATTTATAAAAAGCTTAGTGTTTTGACTTCAGCTCTTTTTAAAGGAAAAATATGATGGTATATTGGGCAATAGTCATTTTTCTACAAAAAAAAAAGGGAAATTTGTGTAGTTAGGTTATACTGCTACCACATAATACATCTCTGTAGTGATTAACCACTAATTCAATTAAATTCTCAAAAATATTCTCTAAAAGTATATATCACCACAAAGGTATTAGTCATAATTAGAGACGCACTAGAGGCACGGACTCTAAGAAGGGCCGGGTCTTCTACAGAGCCTCCAATGGTGAGGATGATTGTGTTGCTGGACACCTTTTAGGTTGCGGCCCTCTTGCAGCACCAAGGCATTGGGCTTAAAGGCAGACAGGGGAAAAGCCTGCAGTAGAGAATAAGAGGGACACAGGGGTAGGAGTCCAAACAATAGAGGAATGGGTACACAAGAAAACAACAGAGAGACAGTACAGCATTGGTATATGGAGTTCTCTGAGAAGAGAGGCTGCATAGTACAGACAGCCACACAGGAGGAAGACAAACTCACAGGTAAGCAGGATCTCACTGGGAGCACGAGGGAATAAAAAAAAACACACAGGGAACAAGGGAGATAAATAGCAATCCTCAGGGATCCAAGGCAAACAGTACAAAGGGGGTCCGGCACAGTGCAACGATACGTTGCTCGAACGCCAAGCAACAAGTCAGCTGAACATTTAACACTGAGGTTCAGAATGGATTGTCAGGAAGGCGAGCATCTCAGACAGAAGGCAAAACCCAGCCCCGGATCATAGCACAAGGAAGTGTGACATTACCCCCTCTTTATAAGGCCTCCTCGGCCACTGGGGCCCGTGCTTCAAGGGAAGGCAAATGTGACCTTTATCAGGAGAGGAGCAGAAACATCAGATGCAAGGAATCCAGGATCTTTCTTCTGGGCCCAAGCCCTTCCAATCAATCAGATAGTAGAGCTTTCCACAGGAGATTTTTGAGCCCAGAATTTGATGAACCTCATGTTCCTGGGATGGACTAGCAGGTGGAGTAGCCAGAGAAGAAGAACGAGAAAATGTATTCAAGACCAAGGGCTTGAGCAGTGAGATATGAAAACAATGAGGAATTCTAAGGTGCGGGGGCAAACGGAGTCTACAACAGATTGGAATAATTCGCGAGACAACATAAGGCCCAATATAATGTGGGGCAAACTTCATAAAAAGGACCTTTAGGTAGATATTTTAAGTAGCCAGCCAAATCCGGCTGAAGGAGTGGGTCTTTACATCGACGCCGGTCAGCAAACATTTTGTGCCTCTCGGCAGCTTGCTGGAGTTGATTCTGGACTTGGGACCAGATCTGATTCATATTCCTTTGCGAAGTATCCAAGGCTGGAATCTCAGGAGAACAGGGCATAGGCAAGGGAATGTGTAGGTGTTTACCGTAAACTGTGAAGAATGGGGATACCTGGGTGCTGGCATTAATGTGGTTATAGGGAGCAAATTCCGCCCAAGGCAGAAGAGCAACCCAATCATGTTGGTGTGCAGACACAAGGGCCCGAAGGAACTGCTCCAGGGACTGATTGGTTCTTTCAATCTGTCAATTAGACTGCGGGTGGTAGGCGGTAAAAAACTGTAATGACACATCCAGAGATTTGCAAAGAGCCCTTCAGAACCTAAAGTGAACTGTACCCCACGATCAGAAACTATACTGGTTGGCATACCGTTTACTCTAAAATACTCTCAGATGAAAATTGGCACCAATTCTGCTACTGATGGCAGCGAAGAGAGAGATAAAAAAGGTGCCATCTTGGAAAATCTGTCTACCACTACCCACACTACAGTACAGCCCTCAGGCAATGGAAGATCCGTAATGAAGTCCATAGCAATATGACACCAAGGTTTCTCTGGAATAGGTAAAGGTAAGAGCTGCCCAGCCAGAGACTGATTAGGAGTGCACAAACTGAGCAAACTTTAACAAATTCCTCTACGGCCTTGTGAAGGTCCGGCCACCAGTAGTGGCGAGAGAGGAAGACCAGGGTTCTCTGGATGCCTGGGTGACCAGAGAACTTAGAATCATGAGCCCAACGTAAGAGCTTAGTTCTCAATTCAGCTGGCACAACAGCATTTAATCATGTATTCTCCTCACTTTCAGCAGACATGTGTATTCAATCAGAAACGAGATATATGCCTCTGAAGAGGAGATCTCCAAATTTTATATGCAGCTATGGATAAAATCATAGTTCAATAAGGGGATAATGTCCCATCCCTTGATACTCTCAAGACCACAAGCTTGTATTTCATTTTTTTTCTACTCTGCCAAACGGCCGGCAGATATCCTAGGCCAGGGAGTATACATGTATATCAGCAGGAATCCTTGCTCCGCATAACCATTCACTGGCCATGTATGAATATAAGCAGTCTCTTACCGCATCGTAGCGAGAGTACCTCACATACTGTACAGCAGGCCTCAAAATTTCCACTTGCCCCCTCGCAATTGGCGAGTGAAAATTGCGTGGGGGCGAGTGGAATGTCATCGAGGGGGTGTGCCGGCGGCGGGACCAGGGATGGGACACTACCGCCGCGGCGATTGCTTGCTTCTCTTCTCTCTTTTTCTCGGCTGCTGCAGCTACAGAGCGGACGGGCAGGGGGGCGTCACACTCAGCTGCCAGGAGAGGAGTGAGGGAAGGATGGGGCGCGCCCACCCAGACTACATGCTCAGATGAGAAGACAAGCGCACGGAGCACCGGGGGAACCACCAGCATGTGCCCAGCAGAGCAGAGAGCCGACACGTCCACAAGGAGGAGGAGAAGACACCCGGGAAAGGTAGGAGTCTGTGTAGGGGGGAGGGAAGGTGGTGGGGGGGAAATGGTGATACAGGGGGGTCCTGCAGAAGTTGCCAAAAAATTATATAGTGGAGGAAGACATGCAGCAGCTGGGCTACCAACTACACCACCAGGGCAAAGGAAAAAACAAATATAATTTATTAATTTATGTAAATGAATCGTAAATAAAATATATAAATGTATCCACTGCTGGGCTAATCATGGAAAAAAATTATAAAATAAATTGGTTTAGTAGTATTAATATAGATTTCATTTTTCTGCTTATTGTGGGTGTGTATTAAAAAATAATAGATATAAATAAACAAATGCTGTGGTAGGAAATAAAATAAATTGGTTAATATTAAATAATATTATTGAATTTTTCTGTTACTGTACATAACTATAATTTTATAATATTTACTTTTATTTCAAACATCTTTTAGGGCCCATTCACAGCAATTGCGGTGCGTTCCACAGCGGTAGCTGCTGTAATGCACAGCAATCGCACACTAAACTTCCCCCTGCATTCTGGGGTGTGAGGGGGCGTGGCGCTGCATTGAAGTCAATGGCACCGCAGCCACGCCCCCACCCGCAGTGCAATCGGACAACAAACATTGCCTGCATTCCAGTCCAGTGCGGACGCAAAATAATACTGCATGCTCTATTTTTTTGCGTTCACAGTGGACCGGAACGCAGGCAATGTTTTGTCACGCATCAGATTGCACTGCGGATGGGTGCGTGGCTGCGGTGCCTTTGACTTCAATGCACCGCCAGGCCCCCTCCCGCCCAAGAACAAAGGGGGAACTTTAGTGTGCGATTGCTGTGCATTCCAGCAGCTACCACTCTGGAACGCTCCACAATTGGTGTGAACGGGAACTTAATATGCACTGTGGAGCTCTGCTATACACTTACACACTGCACATTACTATGAGTTTTTGTGATATTCTCATACACACTGCACATTACTGTCAGGCTAGGTTCACACCTGGGCGATCCGTGACCGTGTGGCAACCGTGCATAATGGCACCGCCAGCGTGGTCGGCAGTGGTGGGCATTTCCGTGACCGTGTGGCCATCCGTGTGGTCACGGAATCGCCCACCATTGCTGATCGGTGCCATTATTTTTGAATGGCACCCCAGTCATGTCGGGCAGATCGTGCGATTTCCCGCCGCAATACCGACCGTGCAATTGAACACGATCACGGCTAAAAAAGCAGTGCGTTGTGTGTTGCAAAAAACGGTACATGTACCTTTTTATAGTGATTGTTGCTTGGGAAATGTAAATGAAGCTAACCCCTTTCTCTTTTCATACTAATGTAGCGCTCACCTCCGAAGGTGCAGCTGGATGAACAGGTCCATATCTAGTCAGTCTAGGGATAGATTTCCAACTGCCCCATTAGCATTAACCGCCCTCTCCCTGTGCCCATAAATTGAAGTCCGCTCCAATCGTGAGATGCTGGTTAAACAGTTTATTCACTTCTAATTAGGGAGAGAGGGTATAGGGTCTAGGTGCAACGGCCTCCATAGCTCCAGACACACCAGATCTTATCTTCGTGAAGTACATCTCCACAATCCTTGGAAGAACACTGACCCCACTCAGAAGTCCCTCTGAATACTAGGCACTTCAAAAGCCCACACGGGTCCTGGTTCTTCCATTCTTACAGGCATTCTCCTGACTGCAAACTCTCAAGGAGGCCTCTCCTTCAGCAGCTCAGCCAACTCCCACCCCCAGGCCTCGGCCTAGCCTAGGGGCAGGCTGAACAGGACCCAACCTCAGTCCATGGCTGGTCCAGAGAAGAGAGCGAGCACATGGCCTCCCACCAATATATATATATACTTTGTCAGCAGACATCACTGGCTACAACAAGCCCAGTAACTGGCTGCTGCCCTGTACACATATCACAGTGTCACCCATTGGCTGTCCCATAATGTGACAGAGTCTCACTCCGCCCTAGGGGGTACAGACAAGGTTGGACACCTGGGATTAACCATGTGCTGGCTGCTACAAAATTCAACCAGGCTGCCTACAGCCCTGGCTATCACTAAATAGATAGTAAGCACTTCACCAAAGGTGATGGGCGCTACACTAAAATGAATTTTTAGCCTGCTTTTGAAAAATTAGACAAATCCTCTGCTTTCCTTTACTTTGCTCTTTATAAATTTGACCCCATGTTATCAATTATCCTAACAGTCATGCAACACTGAGTTCTGGGTTTACAAATCACCAAGGATATATTCTGTACGGAATTTGTATTGTCTTCCCAGGTTTGCACGGTCTTTCTCTGGGAGAAATGTTTTCCTCCCTCAATCTAAAAACATACTGATAGATTAACTGGCATTTGACTAATTTGGCTCCAGAGTGTGTGTGCTTGTGTAAGTGTGGTAGACACATTAGATTGTGAACTACTTCATGGGCAGGGACTGATGTGAATAGTTCTATGTGCACTGAAAAGCACTGCATAATATGTCAGCACTATAGAAATACAGAAAATAATTATAGCTCTTGTTGCCAAGGTTAAAACAATTTCATGAGCTAAGAATTCTAAGGAAACAAGACTCTTTCCTCTACAAAAATACAAAAAAAGGTAAAAATAAACATGTTATTTATGTAGCAGTACATTTTCTAATAGTTAATGGGGTTAACTCAACAATCGTTTTTGACTTTTTCTTGAACAAACTAAACTATAAAAGGGAACTTCAGGAAACTCAATTTATTCCGGAATCAAATGTGAAATCCAAGCAAATTTTCTAATTACATTCTGTCACGATCTGGCTACCGGGGACTGGGGCACATAAGCATTGGGTTATGCGGAGTGGGTTGGAGTCTCAGGCTGGAGTGATGCCAGGGATGCTGGTCACAGGAAACCTAGGTACTAAGAGTCTGTGCGAAATTGGGGACGGGCCAGGTCTTCCACAGAGCCTCTAATGGTGAGGATGATTGGCTGCCTGACACTTTCCAGGTTGCGGCCCTCTAGTGCACCCGCACAGACTCAGAGGGCTAGTTGAGGCACCAGGGCACAGGACAAAGGGGCAGACAGGGGAGAAGCCTGTGGACAGGCTGCAGTATGGCGTACAAAGAGGTACTGGGGAAGGAGTATAAACAATAGAGAGAAGGGACACAAGGGACCTCCAGGGAGACAGCACAACGCGGCTATCCGGAGTTCAAGGAAGATGAGGCTGCAGGACAAGCAGCCACACAGGAGGAAGACAAACTCTCAGGTAAGCACAGGTGCAAGAGTTCACTGTGGAGATGATAACCATCCACTAGCAGGACAAGCAGGCTCTCACTGGGAGCACGAGGCAATAACAGCATACATAGGGATGGTATAGAACACAGGGACTAGGGCATTCGGGGTGATGTGTACTGGGGGAAGTGCTGAACACAAGCAGAGTCACACGGGAATGAACAAGAAGCCGGACAATGGAAGATGTGCGTAGCACAGCTACGGATGCTCCGAAAGCCACATACAAGGAATGCACAGAGGAATGTACAAAGTACTAGAACACAGATAATGAACACAAAGATGGAGGTGAAAAACTTACAAACAAGGTAGGAGACCAACACACAGGAACTATCTGGAACAACAACAAATAGGAACACCAGAAACAAGCAAGAGTGGAAAGTCAACAGACAGGTTACAGGGTACACTGGAGGAAAACAGGGACCACAAGAATACAGGGAAGCAATGGGAACAAAGTAAACGCAGGATTTCAAGAAGGTACTAGAACACAGGAAAACACAAGCACAAGAGAGTTAGCGAAAGCAGGGTTCCAGAAAAGTACATAAGCACTAGAGATCACATGGGGGTCCAGCACAAAGGATTAGACTTGTTGCACGAACCCAGAGCAACAAGTGAAGTCATGATAAATAGGGGAGGAGGTGTGGAGATTGGCTGCAGCCCTGTGGAACAGCCAAGCACCAGGAACCAAAGGGAAAATCCGGCACGGATTCCTGGACTTTGTGACACATTCAACAAGTCTCTGATGGCATTATCGAATGTTCTGATAGTATTTTTCATATGAACATTTGTACGAAAATATGTCAGTGTATGGCCAGTTTAAGTCAGGTTTGGGAAATCCTTTTTCACCATGATAATGACATACTTGCACCTTTAGTTCTTCTACAAAGAAGCCTGACCCAATGAAACGTGCATAACAATATGGAGTGTATTTATTTAAAAAAACAAACATGCAGAGCCATTCACCCTGCAAATCTCTGTGAATGTTTGTTCTGTGTGAATGAAGTCAAAAATTAATGGCCAGTTTAAGTCAGGTTTGGGAAATCCTTTTTCGCCATGATAATTACATACTTGCACCTTTAGTTCTTCTACAAAGAAGCCTGACCCAATGAAACGTGCATAACAATATGGAGTGTATTTTTAAAAAACCAAACAAACATGCAGAGCCATTCACCCTGCAAATCTCTGTGAATGTTTGTTCTGTGTGAATGAAGTCAAAAATTAACATCGTTAGTATTTTTTATTTTCAGGTCGAATGTAACATTTGGAAAATACTGCATTATGGCCACTAGATGGAGCTGAGGAGCATTGGAAATAAATATTTCTTATGCTCCTCATCTAGTGGATGATAATACATAATACAGTATTACATTTGACCTGAGAAGAAAAAAATGCTAACATTGCTTTTTGCATCTATTCACACACAGCGAATAGATGCAAATCACGGTAAATCACAGGAAAAATGGCTCTGCAAATTGTTTATAAATACATCCCAATGTGTTATACATAAACACCACTGCAAAAAACATATATGTCTACATAACTACATTTGATTAAATACAATTCTTTAATATTACATCTTGATAACTTGTAAATGATTTGCAAATTCTCCCTGGGGTCCAGGGAGATACTGAACTGTCCAATTCCAAGGAACATTAGTTGCTTTGACATTTATAGAGTAAATATGAGAATGTAGAAGAATACCAAAACGTAATGAACTGGTAATTATGGCCTTAATAGGACAGCAGTGCCTATGATTTAGTGGTGTGTTTGTTTTTTTACTTACCTTTGGCAAAGCTGGGGTTCATTAACATTAGGGATAAGGTTTGCTTCGCCACTATTATGAGTTCACAAAATGTTGTCCAGAAACTTTGCAGGTTCGCTTCTAGAAATAAGGAACAACCTATAATACAGTGCACAGCCTTTGGCCATGGTGAGCTGAGTCACAAGAGCCAATAATTTAAAGGAATGGATAAGCAAGACCCCTTTTCTATAAAAGAGTAGGATCATAGCAGCCAGTGTTAGTGTGTGTTGGATCAGTTGGAGGACTGATAGATCTGTGTAAAGATAAATACTTTTTTTTATATTTATTATAACGTTGGCATGGTACATGGTTCCCAAATGTCAGTGCCTGGCTTCCCATCATGCATATTGCCTAAAAATACCTTGTTTACTAGCTCTACAATTGGCAACAACTTAATAACAAGTCTTCCATCCCTCCCCCTCCCATATATTTCAGTGGGGTTCACCGCAAAGGTTGTGAACTTCATACTTCAAACAAGGTTTGCAAAACTGTTCATGAACAGAACTCAGATTTGCTCATCCCTAATCAAGGTGTGTTTATTTTCTAGAAGTGTTTTTCATGCTTTTGAGTTTGCTACTCCTTTTCACAGTTGAAAAAGAATTAAAAAAAAACTTTACTATGGAGTTACTCCTTTCCCACCCCATTAAGATCAGCCTGTTAGTGAATGTAGACCCAACTGAGCACCAGTATAAAATAGAAAAAAAAAGCAGCAATCAGTTGTTACTAGGAGACTTTCGGAAAATAGTATAGCTAAATTCTTCAGGCTCATGTTGGTTCCTGTTTTTACTTTCAACAGAGGAAACACGATATTAGAAAAAATTTTGTCCACATGATATTGTACAAAATAAAAAAGCTGACCTCTCTGTACAGACTGAGCGAGTCTTACTTAACCTGATGGGTTTTTATTTTTATTTATCATTTAGGAAAATATATTAGGGGCACTGGTGTTGCTGTTGCATCAGGAGAAATGAGACCCTGTGGTGTGAGACTGTATATTTCATCATTCTGGTATCTCAACATGGTAAAAGGACAACTTCTAAAGGCTATAACACTTCCCTATTCTATCCATTAGACTACTACTTTAAAATAAGAGCTCTTCAACTACACAACAGAAGTGTTGGTTTCTTTTCCATTTGTAATTGTTTTTCCTGGTCTAATGACTATCATCAATTTATATCTCTTTTTTTATTGTTGAGTTATTTTAATAAAGCTCATGTTATTAATGTACAGTCATGTTTCAAAAAGCTGTGGCACCAGCCAATTGTTCAGCTTTCTGGTTGGCATAGCTCTACCCCAACCTTGACACAGAGTGATTTGTGCCCAAGAAAATTTTAAAACAAGACCATGAAATTATAGGGAAGGAAGTAAGAAATGGAACTAACATGTTCACATTAGAGGTGAGGAGATTAAGGGGGGATATGATTTCCATGTACAAAATGTTTAATGGTGGTAGCAACATTAGCGATAAACTGTTTAAAATTAACTCCGTTACAAAAACTAGAGGCCATAACCTAAAATTGGTGGAAAAAAAATTCCAGCACAAGGTGCGAAGGGGGTTCTTCACAGTAAGATCAGTTAGGGTCTGGAACTCACTGCCACAGGCGGTGATTTCAGCAAATAATGTGGAATTGTTCAAGAAACTTTTGGACGATTTCTTAAGGGACCGTAATATACAGGGGTACGGGTACTCCTAGAATGAGATCCTAATAGGTTGGACTTGATGGACTAATGTCTTTATTCAACCTCAAATACTATGTAACTATGTAACATGTGTAACTAAAGAAATAAACTAGCTCAGCAGACTGACTTTTTGGCACTGGCAACACAATCATTTCAAAAGCAATTTACAAAGCATATGTCCAATAGGACAGACGGCAAGAGTAATTTATATGGACACCAACCTTCCTGGACTTTCAAGCAGGTTGACCCACTGTACACCACAACATGCTCTGTATTAACTGATAAATAAAAAAAAGTATTTTGCGGGTATGTATGTTAGATAATGATATATCAGCATAATACAGCATAAAGATATTTGAGCAAGAACTGTGGTAATTAAAGTATATTTTTCTTGGTGACCATTCTCACCAGCACTAAAAGTGAACATAATGTGCACACAGATGTAAAAAAAATGACATGGATTTAAACCATTCCCTAGTTATGAGCTATCCAACATGTAATGAAACTGTTTGAACCTTTACTATACTTTAACTTTCTGTATTTCTCTTATTTGCTTCCAATAGTAGCCAGCCAACAGCTTATTAAAGGAGAACTATGGGGTCAGTGTTTTTCCCCATAGTTCTCCTTAGGGTAACGGGAGGACACAAACTAGCGTCCTCTCGTTACCCTAAGCTCAGTATACCGCGAGCTACAGCTCGCGGTATACTGAGATGCCGCAGCTGTTCCCGATCTACTGAGCCGACCTGTGACAGTCTCATTGTCACAGGTCGGCTAGAACTATGAGGTGAGTGAAAAGCACTCACCTCATAGTTCTCCTTTAAAAAAATCTAGCTAAAAAGAAGCTAGTAGTTGATGAAAATGTTAGACAAACACAGTGGCATACAGTATATCTATCTACTCCCAAAAGGGATGCAGGTCTAATAATACATAGAAATACAGTAGTTTCTATATAAATGACAAATAAGAGGACAATGGCATGCCTTATAAAATACAGAGCTAAGACTGGAAGAGGGAGGAGCGGCACAAGAAGCAACCACTTGTGCTTCTGCATTCATGTACTAACAAGAAACAAAATGATTGGGGAGATAAACTCATATGTTGGCTGCTAATGCTTTCACTGTCCAATCAAAGGCAGGGGGATAGACAAGACCTATAGGTGAAACTCGAATAATTAGAATATCGTGCAAAGTTAATTTATTTCACTAATGCAACTTAAAAGGTGAAACTAATATATGAGATAGACTCATAGACACTGATTTGTCATAATTGTGATGATTATGGCTTACAGCTCATGAAAACCCCAAGAACCCCAAATCCACAACCTCAAAAAAGTAGATTATTACATGCAATCAATAAAACAAGGATTGTACATAGAACAATATCGGACCTCTGAAAAGTACAAGCATGCATATGTACTCAGTACTTGGTTTGGGCCCCTTTTGCAGCACTTACTGACATTACTTTTGCACGATATTCTAATTATTCGAGTTTCACCTGTATAAGAGTTACTTAAACACAGCAGATAAAAAGCAGGTCTTCTCCCCTGATAGACTGAGCTGTGCTAAGTGGCAGACCTTTGTAAATCTCAGGACTGTATGGACAGGAATATAAATCCTTTGGCAGGGATGGGGATAGTCACTGAAACTGACGCTATAACATTATAGGGGGATCTGGATAAAATAGGGGAGTGGGCAACCAGATGGCAGATGAGGTTTAATGCAGATAAATGTAGAGTTGTGCACTTTGGGGTTAAAAACAAAAAAAAACGGATTACACACTAATGGCAGCTCCCCTCGGAAAGTCCGAAAGGGAAACAGATTTGGGGGTCATTGTAGACCACAGGCTGAAAAATAGCTTGCAGTGTCAGGCGGCCGTAAACAAAGCAAGCATAGTCCTTTCTTGTATTAAGAGGGGAATGTTTTGCAGGGACAAGTCTGTAATTCTGCCACTTTATAGATCACTGGTTCGGCCTCATCTGGAGTATGCGGTCCAGTTTTGGGCACCAGTGAACAGGGGGGATGTCCTTGAACTGGAGAGGGTCCAGAGGAGGGCAACCAAAATCATAAAAGGGATGAAGGGCCTGAGTTATGAGAACAGGCTACTAAAATTAAACATGTTCTCTTTGGATGTAAGGAGATTAAGGGGGGACATGATGTTCATGTATAAAATGCTTAACGGGAATAGTAACATTGGCAGCAAACTTTTTACAATTAACTTGATGACAAGGACGAAAGGCCACCACTTAAAATTGGTGGAGAAAAAATTTCAACACAAGGGGCGAAGGGGTTTCTTCTCTACTCGCTGCCACATGCTGTGATTTCAAGAGGCGATTGGACGATTTCCTCAGGGACCGTAATATACAGGGGTACAAGTACTCTTAAAATTGAAAACACACAAGGCACCTACTGGTTCATTTTGCCATTGCTGTTTGTTTATACCACTGTTGGTGCTGTTAATGTCCCTCCGTTTATTCTCTGCGATGTGGTTTTACTATTTGACGTACAGGCCTCCATGCCGTTCCTTGAGCCCCACGCTGCTCCTCGCTTCCATTCCGTGTCTGCCTGCCGAGGAAGTTTGGCTACAGTGCTTGTTCACGGGAGCTGGGACCAGGGTCAGCCGTGGGACTACAATGTTGCACTATTGAATTCTCCTCCATGCCTGGATGGACAGGGCACCCCCACACCTTCTGAAATTCGATCCTGCATTTCTCCCTATTGCTCAGCTTTGATGCTGATATGCAATATTTCTACTGTCTGTATTCTGCCTCTCCCTTTTTCCTCCTCTCCCTCTTCTCTCTGCCCCCCTCCCCCACTGGCACTGGCCTTTGTCAGGAAGTACCCCTGTCTCTCACTCAGCCTTGCAGGTGCTGTCATTGAGCTCGTTCTTCCCGCACCATCATAATGACGACTAGTCGACCCGTAAACGTAGACTCGCTTTCAACTACTTCTCG